GAGGAGGAGGAGAGGGGGGACAGAAGGGAGACCGACGTGAGCGCGGCGGCGGCGGCGGCGGAGGAGGCGGCGCAGGAGGCAAGGAGGACCAGGACCCGGCCTCGAGGAGGGTCTCCCGTGCCAGCACCGCCAACAGGACGGGGGGCACCATGCAGCCGGGCTCCAGGACGTCCTCTTCCTCCAACTCGCTGGAGCTCTTCGTGGGACCCAACTTCAGAGTCGGGAAGAAGATCGGCTGCGGGAACTTCGGCGAACTTAGATTAGGTGAGTAGTGGCTCTGGCTCTTTAGGGGGTTTAGGACTTTGAAGCGCCTTTGGAGACCTTAAAGAAGGGCTAGGCCGGTGTTCCGTGGCGTCTCTCTTCGCTGTTTGTCTTGTCGTGGTACTTTTTCTAGTGACCCAAGTTTTCACCATGTCTGCTTCTCATGACTTGTCTGTCCTGTGTTTGTATGTCTGGCTGTTTGTTTTGCTGTTTATTTCTTTGGTTCTTCATTCTCCTCATTTTCATGTTTGTCATTTCAGTTGTGCTGTTCATTTTCTTTTGCTTTCTTCAATGCTTGTTCATCAAGCTATTTTCTTTTCACTCTTGCTTTGCTTCTTCCCATCACAAACTAGAGTGATTTTCTCTCTCTCTCTCTCTCTCTCTCTCTCTCTCTCTCTCTCTCTTCTCTCTCTCTCTCTCTCTCTCTCTCTCTCTCTCTCTCTCTCTCTCTCTCTCTCTCTCTCTCTCTCTCTCCTCTCCCCTCCCCCTCCCCCTCCCCTCCTCCCACTCTCTCCCACTTTCCTTCCCCCCTATTTCTCGCCCTCTTTCCTCTCTTCCCCTCCTTCCCCTCTCCTTCTCTCCCACCTCCCCATCTCCCCCTCTCTCTTACTCCCTCCCCTCCTCTTTTTCTTTCCTCTCTCCTTCCCCTCCTTCTTTCCTCCTCTCCCTCTTTCTCTCTTTCCCCTCCTTCCCCCTCTCTCTACTTTCCCCCTCCTCTCTCTACACCCCACCTCCCCCTCTCTCTACTCCCACCTCCCATCTCCCCTCTCTACTCCTCCCCTCTCTTTTTCTTTTCCTCTCTCCTTCCCTCCTTCTTTTCCTCCTCTCCCTTTTTCTCTCTTTTCCCTTCCTTCCCCCTCTCTCTACTCCCACCTCCTCTCTCTACACCCCACCTCCCCTCTCTCTACTCCACCTCCCCTCTCTCTACTCCCACCTCCCCCTCTCTCTACTCCCCCCTCCCCCTCTCTCTACTCCCCTCCTTCCTCTCCTCCCTCCCTTCCCTTTTTTTCTTCCTTTCTCCTTCCCTCCTTCCCTTCCTTCTTTCCTCCTCTCCTTTCCTTCTTTCTTTTCCCTTCCTCTCTTCCCTCTCTTCCTCTCCCTCCCTCTCTGCCTGTCATTCACTCCACCTCATCTTTCCTCTCTACCCCTCCTCTCCCTCCATCCCTCCTTCCCTCCTGCTCCTTCCCTCCTCTCTGCTGCTTGTTCTTTCCCTCCATCTTCCCTCTAGCTTCTTCCCTCCTCCCTTCCCTCTTGCTCCTTCCCTCCCTCTCTCCTCTTGCTCCCTCCCCCTCCCTCCCCTCTTGCTCCCTCCCCCTCCCTCCCCCTCCCCCTCCCCTCCTCCCTCTTCTCCCTCCCCTCCCTCCCTTATACTCCTTTTTTCCTTCCCTACCTCCCTCCCATTTTTTTCCTTTCCCTACCTCCTCCCATCTTTTTCCTTCCCTCCCTCCTTCCCCCTCCCTTCTTGCTCCTTCCTTCCCCTCTTCCCCCCTCCCTCTTTGCTCCTTCCTTCCCTCCTTCCCCCTCCCCTCTGCTCCTTCCCTCCCCCCTCTTGCTCCTTCCCTCCCTCCCCTCTTGCTCCTTCCCTCCCTCCCCTTGCTCCTTCCCTCCTCCCTCTTCTCCTTCCTCCCTCCCCTCTTGCTCCTTCCCTCCCCTCCCCTCTTGCTCCTTCCCCCTCCATCCCTTTCCTCAATCCCTCCCCACTTCTTCCTCCCTCCTACACCTCCACTCCCTCCTCTGTCTCCCCTCCTTTCCTTGCCACCTCTTTATCACATTTTGTTTTGATGGCTGGTTCTCCCTCCCTGTCCACTTGAAAGGCCTCTCAGCTGATCACCTTAGAAGGGCCAAGCAGAATGGTGCATCCAAGTTGGCTGTCAAGCTTGTTAATCAATACATGAGCTACAAACCTGTCTTCTTGGTACCATTGAAAAGGGGAGGGAATGAACCATATTGCTACTATGGGTTTATACAGTAGCTCATATTGGTGTGTAGTTTATGGTTTAAGGATCATGAGGGTGTTGATAATGATGGAAAGAGAAATCTGCACTTGTGGGATTGATTTTACTGGTTTGTGTGTGAAGTTGATGGAATGGGGGGTGGAAGAGCATGCTTGTGGTATGTTGTTTCAGTTGGTGCATTTGATGAGGGTGATTATGATTTCATGCTGAGATTTACATCACATTTCCAGTTTGGAGAACAAATTACCAGGCTCAAATTAACTTGGGAGTGATTACATCCATAATTTTGGAGCATGAAAGCAGGTATTAATTTAAATTTATTTATATCTGCATTGATTACAGGGGCCTTACCACTGCAGACTCGCATAGCATTGGATTTAGTATAATTGAATTAAGGTCTGTCGTGCCCATCTTTGGCGTCTGATCTGCCAGTGGGCTCGGATGGTGCAGACATGCAGAGAATTGGCACTGGGGTTGGTAATGGGAATGGGTTGGAATTGTGTTGATTTTGATGCATTTGTGAAGGAGGTAATTTCAGAACACTGGTTTGAATGGGATGGCCATTTTGTGGGATAGAATTCAGGGTTGCTTTGATTCATGTGTGTGCACCATAAGTCTATTTGTTTTTACTGTGAGTGAGAGTGATGGGAGAATAACAAATGTGACTGTGACAACGTGTTGGGATAATGCCTCTTGGTGCCTTAGCTGGTGTGGGTTGAATACAAGGTCATGGGCACTGCTAGGAGAATGTGTCAAGGGTAGGTTGCATTTGGGAAGTCTGTATTATTGTTTTTCTTCTTAGAGATGACCAGCTGTGTAGATCTGATTTTCTTATCATTATTATTTTGGTTTTACTTGGTTTTCTGTTCAGATTTTGTTTGGAAGAGGGGGGGGGGGATAGCTGAATAACCAGTTAGCAGTTTTATTTTGAAATGTTTCTCACATATTTTGTGCCGGAGAGTTGGGAGTATGGAATATGTCAGTTGGAGAAACAGTGAAATCGTATACAGTTCATTTGTTTGGCTAAAAATGTAGCCACAATGAAAATGTGGAGAAGAATCTTATTTGAAGACCTTTGTAACTGTGCAAATACGTGGTAGTGGCTTTGTTTTGATCTTAATGAGTAAGTCAAGAGCAGCTATTTCCTGTCTGTGTGTGTTTGTGGAATCCCCAGCTGAGATCCACAGCAGCTATGTCCAGCATTTCATAGCCGGGGTGAATATGATTTTTGGCATAGGCATGGTCATATGCACAGGCTTATAGGGTGAAGGAAAATTGATGGCAGGAAGGGTAGCTATCACTCCTTATTTGCTTTCAGTAGAGAGCCAGAAAGGATAGGTACAGGTTATGTATCATTGAGTGAGATTTTGCATATACGCCATAGATGCCAGGAGAGAGCATGATTCAGATATTAGTGAATAATCTGATTCTATTGGAGGTACTTAGAATAAGATTGTACCCTTGCGAGTGAGCTAGCATTTGGAATATGTTAGAACTACATTTTATTATTCAGTTTCATCTTAGAAAATCTAATATCAAAATATGATAAAGGTAGATTGGATATCAGAGTGGGGACTGTAGCCATGATATATAAAAAGAGTCATTGTTTGTCACATTTTTACATGCTTTGAAGGTGGTGTTTTTTCGCAGATAATAATATTTGTGAAAGAAATATTGTGGAATTAGCCTTTCAAACCGAGAATGCGAGTTGAAGGAAATGCTACTACTATTGCTGAATTATTGTTGGTATGTGCTGTTGGCTAAGATATCAGGGTTTGGAAAGTAGGCGCCTTCAGCTAGGACAGATATTGAATGTATTTGATGGTGTATGAATAGTTATCTTGTCTGTTAAGAAAGGACTACTCATTGTAAGCTGTTTGCCTTTACTTCTTTCATTTCTTGAATTAAACAGAAAGATTTAAGATAAGAAGCAGTTACATTTTTATTTCTATGGTGGGTGGGTAGGTGGATAGGTGTGTGGGTAGGTTGGTTAATAGTATCAAGTAATTTTCATTTGTTTGGAAATTGATTGCAAGTGTGAATGTTTGTAATGCACTCCTGCATTTTTTATTGTCTGGAATATCTTGATATGAAAACAGCTGATGTGAAGTTCAGATCTATATGCATTAACATTTTAAGGAACATGTCATCTGCTTTTGAGTGCATATTACATGCAAGAATAGAATATTTTTTTTATTTGTGGAATCTTTCGTTGGACTTAGGTATTGATTGGAGAACATGGTGTCATAACCTAGTAGCCAGAATGAAAAATCAATAAATGTAATGAACACAACCATCTATGTACTCTGAACATTTCATCAAGAGAAAGGCAGTACTCTGTCTGATGTTTGGACATCAGCTTTACATACTTTATGACTAAGAAACAAGTATATTTGTCCCGTGATGAGAATAATGGTACCTTTTTAAAAGGATGCCGGTCTCATAATAAAGCATTTTAGCCTTCTCTCAGACGTGGTTGGTTGTTGACCTTTCAATTTTTTCAAAGACTTTGGTCATGTATTAACCTTTTCATGGAAATCCTTTCAGGAAATACCCAAGACTGAACCTCCATGCAGTTCAAGTTTTCACCACCACAGGATGTAATTAGGCAATCTTTTATGAGGACTTAATATTTTCATTAGATATCACTCAAATAGGCTATATAACATGTCAGTTTCCATTACAAGTTCTTTTTGGAAAGACCATGCTCGATATTTGAATATACTTTGTTTTCATTGAAAAGTTTGATGCAGTACTGCTGATTGTTCATGTAGTAAATATATATGCTAAACAAAACATGATACATTTCTTTTGTGTTTCTCTGCCTTTTCTTCTTTATCTCCTCTTACTCCTCCTCCTCTTACATCTGCTGTTCCTCTTTTTCCTCTCCTTTCCGTTTCTCTTCTGTTGATACTACTATTTCCTCTTTCTCTTTCTGGTCTTTCTCCTTCCTCCTCCCTCTCTCCTTTCTCCTCTCCTCCTCTCTCCTTCCCTCTTCCCCCTCTTCTCCTTTCCTCTCCCCTCGTCTACTTCCTCCTCCCCCTCTTC